TTGGCAACACCAAGCCCTTGTCCCATTTCGTCTCGGAGCCGAGCCCCCCGAAGATACCCTCCGTGCCTGCCACCTCCAGGCAGCCTTCCCTGCTGCACTACCTGCAGCAGCCGACACCCTCGCCGGCCTCTTCAGCCACTGCCTCATCCACGGCCACCGCCACCCTGCAGCTGCAGCAGCAGCCTGACCATGCGCTCCTTCTGCAGCAGGTGATGCAGCAACCCCAGCGCTTTCATCGGTCGGTGGCCCCGGACTCCATGGCTGCTGTGCCCAGACAGGTAAGATAATCTCACAACTGGCTGTGCGCTTTAGTTCTGGTTTGACGCCCATCATCCCTGGCTTTGGAGGGCAAATCCAGGCTATGGGTCTCTCTGAGACTGAAATGGACGGGGGAGAAGTCCACGTAAGTCAGCCGATCCTGTGGTTAAAATTAAGCACAGTGTCGATGAGGCCAAGGTTATGGTTTCAGTGCCTGTTTGGGTCAACTAGCTCCCCTGGGAAGAAAACTGCACCCACAAGGTGCTCCCCGGGGAAGGAGCCCGGCGGGGGGGGGGGGGGGTGGAGATCAGCATTATACAGCACTGCCTTCTGCACTGGGCCATGTGGCCAGTCAGTGGAAGCTTCTTAGGATGCAAGGAAATTGCACCAAAGAATTTAGATCTTGTTCCTGCTGGCATAAGGATGAACATTGAGCCTTCTAGAAATGCCCCAGCCGACTTTCGCTGGGCAACGAGCTGTTCATCACTGTGCTGGATACGCAGGCAGGTCCTGAAAGGTAAAAGACTGGTGCTTGGAAGGCAGTTACTCTTATCATCTCCAGTTTACAAACGGAAAAACTGAGGCTCAAAGAGTTGAAGTGAGTTGCCCAGAGTCAAGCAGTTTGCAAGGAACAAAGCAGGAACTGGAAGCCAGGTGGTCTCACTCCAGAGCCTGCGCTCTCCTCGAAATTACTTTTGACTTCTCCCATCCCCTCATCTACTCCAGGTTTTTCCATCACTACATGTAGCCGATTCTACCTGGGTGGTGTCTACACAGTCCTTACTTTTCCATTGCTCTGGCCCCCGCCCCTGTTAGTCATCTACTGACTGTGTAACAAGTTAAGCCCAACGTGTCAGATTAAAACCACACACACGTGATACCTCATAGATTCTAGGGGTCGAGAATCCTGGCACGGCTTAGCTGGGTCTTCCAGCTCAGAGTTTCTCCTAAGGCTGCAGTCACCTCAAGGCTTGACCGGGAAGGGCCTGCTTCCAAGCTCACTCACGAGGTTGTTGGCAGGAAGCAATTCCCTGCAGGTTGTTGGACCGAGGCCTCAGTTCCTCATGAGCTATTGGCCAGAGGCCTCCCTCGGTTCCTTGCCACATGGCCTCTTCACAGAGCGTCTCACAACATGGCAGCTGGCTTCATCTGAGTGAGCAAGAGAGAGCACACCAGTGAGGTGGGATGACAGGGCAGTGGCAGGGGGGAGATAGTGCCAGCAAGTCAGAAGTCACAGTCTTTATAACCTAGTCTGAGAGGTAGCATCCCACCGCTTTTGCCGTATTGTATTTATCAGATGTAAGCCAGAGGGATTTCCACGAAGGTGTGAACAGCACCAGGTAGGGCTCAATGTGACCCTGTCCCACTCGGCCTACACAAAATACAGTCAATCACAATCCCTCTTCTCCATCGTTCACCTCCCTCCCCAAGTTCAGGCCCTCTTGATTCTTTCTCTGGTCTCATCCAGTTGACCCGTAACTGGTTTCCCCCGATAAAACATCCATTGCTCTAAGAGTCACCTAGCTAAAACAGTGACCGTATCAAGTTTCACCCTTGCTCAGAAGTCCCCAGGGGCCCAGAACCTGGCTCCACCAGCCTCCTTAGAGTCAGCGTCCACCAGGTCCTGTCTTACACTTGGATTTCCGTAACCAAGAGCTCATGACTCCTGACCCACTCTTGTGTGGTCTTGGCCTTTCCTCCCGCCATTTTCTATGCCTTCCCACTTTTTCTCTCCTGTCCAGCTCCTGCAATTTCTCAGGGCTCAGGCACCACCCCCCCACCCCCAGGAAGCTTTCCTCCACCCGGCCTCAGTCCTTCCGTTTCCCACTGTGCCTCCTCCTGTAGAGTAGTCAAGGAGAAGATATCTGTAAACTGCTTGGCCAGGTTGGCCCAAGGGAAGCACCTGTCAGCGACTGACTTCTTATTCAAGAGCCCTGTATGAGCATGACCGTGACAGCCCCCAGGGCATGGAGACTGTGTCTCTTCCATCCGGGTCTCCTGTCCAAGCAGAGCGCTCAACACCACCGGGGTACTGGTCATTTGATGGATGCATATAGCAAGCAGAGCTCCCGTGGGGGTGGCCAAGGTAAACCGACAGCTGGAGACAGACAAGGCAGGAAGGATAGGACAGCCTCCTGGGGGCTTGGGCCCTTGTCTGCAGTTCAGGAGCACTTTGGTTTGATTTTATTGTAGGGCTGTTGCCATCTGTTTACATGGACTTCTGCAGCTAGCTCGGTGAAGCCCCAGCAGCAAGTCGTGAACTCTTTGAATAGCAGGCGAAATCCTCAGCCTGGAGACGTGTCACCATCTTACCTTGTGAGCCTTTTTGTTTTGTTTTGTCTTCAATTGGGTACATTTGTTGTCTGACTGTGTTGCAGAGCCTGTGAAATCAGCTGGCTGAGAGGGGGAGTTCTCAGCTGGCTCAGAGGGGGAATTCTTAATGCCTGGAGTCGTGCAAATCCACTCAACCAATTACCTAGGCAGGGCTGGAGAAAGTGTTCAAGAGAAAGCAGCCAAGCTCCCAAGCCCAGGAGCATGATCAAGGCCTCCAATGACCTGCACCAGCAGAGGGGACAGACTGGGATGCTATTGCCACCAAAAGCTGCCTTCCCAGTCGGTGCTGGCCTATACCCATGGCCAGACATGGGACTCAATGCTTCGCCTGCCTTTTATCATTTTAGTTCTCAGAGGCAGGGACTGTTACCACTCCCTTTAAAGTTGAGAAGAAAGGCACAGAGAAGTCACCAGATTTGCCCATAGTCACACAGCAACTCAGGGCCAGAACAGGGAGTCTGTCTACAGAGCCCACACTCATCCTTATGCATGGGACACTGCCTCTAGGGCCTTTTGTTTCGGCCCTAACCCCTTATAAGCTTCTGCAAAGCAAGGGTGATGACAGGTTGTCTGAGGATGAAATATGTTAAGACATCTGCAGAACTTTTCTCAAATTTTATTTTATTTTATTCTAGAGTTGTGGGGTACATGTGAGGATTTGCTTCATAAGTCAATTGCGTGCAGGTGAGGCTTGGGCCATCTACAGCTCTTAGAACAGGGCCTGACACAAAGTGCATGCTGGCCCGGGGTTTGCTGTCACTGACTTGAACGCCTGACCCTGAGCCCCCAGATCTGTTTCCTGTGGCTAATGTGGTTCTCAAAACCAGGAGCTGTGTCAAGACACACTTGAGCAGCGTTATCTGCAGACCCCACGCCTGCCATGAGCTTGGCAGGAGCTGTGTGGCCCGCAAGCCTTGAGAACTCTTTCTGCTCTTCTGGACAACTCCTGGCATGATGGAAATGGGCAAAGGGCCATGTCTGCCTAGCTGGTGGGGGGCTCGCTTTGCTCTCTCTTGAGCTCTCCAACACTCTCACTCCAGATCTCTCCCTAGCACTCTGTTCTCTACCTGGCATTCTTCTAGCCAAAACATGCCACTTGGGTCTCCAAGCTGGGCATATCAACAGTCCCCCTATTCCTTCTTGTGGCCTCTCCCCATTACCTCTAAAGCCTAAGAACCCAGCCCTGGTCAGTCTTCCAGCGGAGAGGGGGAAAAAAGAAAGAAAAAGGTGTTTGAGGCTAGGGCTGGTACCCCTGTGGGAGGCCAGATGGCAGCCCCAGTGGTGGGAAAGCACGTGCTTTTCACTTCCAGAAGTCTGAACAGACTTCCCAAGCGTTATTGATAGCCAAGGTAAGCCTCAGGAACATGAATGATGTATGACACACCATTGACTGGCTTGTCGCACTTCCCTTGAACGACAGAGGTTACCATAGAAAGACTGGACATGTGTTGACATCCGAAACTTTGGTGTTTTTTTTTTCTTTTGAGACGTCTTTCTCTGTGGCCCAGGTTAGAATGCAGTGGCATGGTTATAGTTCACTGCAGCCCTGAATTCCTGGGATCAAGCAATCTTCCCACCTCAGCTAACCAAGTAGCTATGACCACAGGTGTATGCCACCATGCCTGGCTAATTTTGTGCATTTATTTTTTGTAGAGATAGTATATCACTGTGTTGCCCAGTCTGGTCTCAATCTCCTGGGCTCAAGTGAGCCTCCCACCTTGGCCCCCCAAAGTGCTGAGATTGCAGGCATATGCCACCATACCTGGCTAGTTTTCTTTAAAAAAAAATGTTTACGGAGATGGAGTCTTGCTATGTTGCCTAGGCTGATCTTGAACTCCTGGCCTCAAGTAATCTTCCCGCCTTAGCCTCCCAGAGAACTGAGACTACAAGTGTGAGCTACTGTGCCCAGCCTGAATCTTGGTTTTTTTAAAAGGAGTAGTTTCTAAATGTGAGATAAGAAATAAACTCTTGATTAAGCAGAAAGGCCAAATTCACCATCTATAGGGGCTCATTCTTATTTGTAGACCAACATTTCTCTACTTGGGGTATTTCGCCTTACCAGTTGAGTAAACGATTCCATTTCCACGTGAGGTAAACGACACATGCCATGTGGTTTCAGGGCATGGAACATTAATTAAGGACACTGGAGGCAGACAGAACTGAGGTTGGAGTCTGGCTGCAGATGCTGACTGAGCCGGGTGCCGCGAGCAGTGTTACTCAACCCCTGTGAGCCTCAGCTGACAATGGGGAAGGGAATAGTTCCCAGTGCATAAGGCATTGGGAAGACAAAGGAGATATTAACCTGAAGTTGCTTAGACCAGTGCTGGGTACACACTACAGCTCAGCCAGAGCTAGTACAGATTTGTGGGCTTGGATCTGAAACCTCAGGGGCCAGATGAGATTCCAAAGTCAGAACATTTGGGACTTTAGGAAGCTAATATAGTGCAAACACCAAATATCATACAACCCTCCAGTGGAATCTGGGACAACATTTCATTATTTTTGCAGAGAAATATGAATATTTAATGAAGTCCAGGTCAAATTTTGCCCCCAAATAAATAACGAAGAATAGCTTCCAAAATTAAAATTGGCTTTCAGAGCTTCTTGGACTTGAAAGATCTTTAACTCTTTTTTGGAGTCGTGACACTCAGCCCTGGTTTGTTAGATTTTTTTGTTTTATTTTATT